TATCATGTGAGCTGCTTATCTGTTAGCTGCTTATCATGTGAGCTGCTGATCTGTTAGCTGCTTATCATGTGAGCTGCTGATCTGTTAGCTGCTTATCATGTGAGCTGCTGATCTGTTAGCTGCTTATCATGTGAGCTGCTTATCTGTTAGCTGCTTATCATGTGAGCTGCTTATCATGTGAGCTGCTGATCTGTTAGCTGCTTATCTGTTAGCTGCTTATCATGTGAGCTGCTTATCTGTTAGCTGCTTATCATGTGAGCTGCTTATCATGTGAGCTGCTTATCATGTGAGCTGCTGATCTGTTAGCTGCTTATCATGTGAGCTGCTTATCATGTGAGCTGCTGATCTGTTAGCTGCTTATCATGTGAGCTGCTTATCATGTGAGCTGCTGATCTGTTAGCTGCTTATCATGTTAGCTGCTGATCTGTTAGCTGCTTATCATGTGAGCTGCTGGTTAGATTGTACTGAGACACAGTAAACCTTTTGGACTAAATCACATTCAGCGTGTCTGCCATAGCAACTCCAACATAGCGTCACAAAAATGGTTACAGCTCGGTGAGCTTTACAAATATTGACGTGAATTTGAAAGCGGTGGTAGCAGAGTCGTCTTCACAGGCACAGGTATCTTCTAACACTCGCAGGAAATGAACTGATTTCCTTCATGCTCCTGAACTCAAGTTGTATGTTTCTCATGCTTCCTCTCCCAGTCCTGACGCAGCTGGTCTAACCTGGAAACACTGGTCACACCCACGAAAACGTTTTTACATGCTTATTAAAATGTAACGCGCTTCACCACGGTGTGGAATTGTCCTGTTTGAGTTTATTCTCAGGGTTTTATTCGTGTGGCCTCTAACACAAGCGGTGTGTTTCACGCGAGCCTTGCGGATGATGTCCCTGCACCTTTCTGGCGGCTCGTCACAATGCCTGCGTGGACAGAAGCTGCCGAGGGAAACCTCCGGTGTGTCCCACCTCTCAGAACCGGCCTCTTCTACAAACGTCACATGCACCGGGGGGTGAACCTGTCGAGTGGTGTTGTCGGGGATTAGTTCGTGTTTATACTCGAGTTGGTTCCTGTCAGCTGTTTGTGTTCTGCTTTCAGTCAGTTTGTCCAAAGTGCAGTGCCCGTTTTCATGTTCAGGGAAACCAAGTGTTGGACTGACCTCTGCTCACCAACAAGGACCAAATCAGCAAAGGAACGCAAGCGTCATGTCGCAGAACAAACTATGTTTATATATACTATAGATATGTAATACACACAGATACTTTCCAAAAACTTAGAACATCATGGAAAAGTTCAACTTCCATATTTCCATTCAAAAAGTTGATCTTTAACAGATGATGGATTCAGGGCCCACAGTTTAAACTAGTTCAAGTATTTATTTATTTTTACATAATTTGAGCTGCCAGCTCATGAAACCCACAAAAACATGAATTCAAACAATTAGAATACAGTGAAGACATCAGTCCACACTACTCAGTTGTTGCAGAAACAAATCAGGATCACAACAAATCAATCAAAACGTGGTTCTTTCAAATCAATATGTCAATAATCAATAGTTGGTTGTGAATCTTCGTCTTAATCTCTGCCTCCATGTGACGTTGAGACAATCAGCCTGAGGCGTTGACTGGGAGTTATGGAGACGCCGTTAACGTTGAACTGGTAAACACCAAACACACATCTGGTGTTTACACAAACGCCTTGTTTTCTTGTTCTGACGTTTTTTTCTTCGTCCAGTCAAATGTGGCCCTCCAGATATGCCTTCCCAATTTGTCTGCAGAGATACCTACTTGAGCCAAGGGGCCGGACCTGAACCCCACTGAGAATCTATGGGTCTTCTCAAGAGGAACATGAGGAGCACCAGAGCCAACAACCAAGAAGAGCTGACGGCATGAAGGAAATCTGGGCTTCCATAACTCCCAGTCAGTGCCACAGGCGGATTGTCTCAATTCCATAACTTCTCTTTCCGCCTCTTAACCAAGAACTTCTGGTTACATTTCAAAATAAGAGCAACCTAAATGTGTAGTGGAGAGAACTAAATGTTTGTTGTTTAATACCAAGCCATTACAATAAAAAACAACGTCCATTTTGAACAACAACGCCCATGCTCAATAATCCAGGTTTACCCTGATGCATGCTCAATAATCCAGGTTTACCCTGATGCATGCTCAATAATCCTGGTTTACTCTGATGCATGCTCAATAATCCAGGTTTACCCTGATGCATGCTCAATAATCCTGGTTTACCCTGATGCAT